TATTCTAAGGCTATAATTAGGTTATGACATTCCTATAAAAGCTATGAATTAGTTTCAAAATAGGGCTGTGTACATTGGATACTTTTTCTTCCATTTTTGAGATACTTTGCTAAGAAGAACATTTTCCAATTCCATCCATATAAACATGAAGGAGGTAAAATCTCCATCCTTCTTTAGGGCTGCATAGTACTCCATGGTGTACATGTACCATAATTTATTGATCCATTCAATAAATGGATCGTGGGTCGATGGGCATTTGAGTTTCTTCCATGACCTAGCAATTATGAATTGGGCTGCAATAAACATTCTGATACAAATATCTTTGTTGTAATTCGATTTTTGGTCTTCTGGATATATACCTAATAAAGGAATTGTAGGATCAAATGGCAGGTCTATTTTTAGTTCCCTCAGTGTTGTCTGGATGAAAGAGGACATTCTTGAAGGAAGGGGGTCAGACTTCAGTTCTCAGCCCAGGTTATTCTCTCTTCCAGTTAGATCACGCTGTGTGTGTAATGCAGGCATGAAGGAGAGGAAGGAGAAAGAGGGGAAAGGAATGGCCTGAGACTTGACTTCTTGTGGTCCAAGCTCTCAGTCTTGTCCCAAACAGTGATGTCAAAACACTTCCCCAGAGAAGTTAAGATATGTCTTGCTCCTCCCTGGGAAACATTTTAATCTCTTCAGATAGCTTCCTCATTTTCCTTTCCCTTCCCTAATTGTAGACAGAGTGAATTTGAATTCTGTATAAAGAGTAAATATGTGTAGGAATGTAAAGGGGAAAGGACTTATACAATTCGGGGATGTGAGTAAAGAACTTTGGAGACCTGACTTCTAAATTAGGTCATTTCTGAGACCACTGGCAAATTACTTAAATAATGCAAGTGGGTTAAAATTAGGTAAAGAATTTAGGGAGAATCAGAAAATGCATAGAAGGTGTTGAGTTAATGCTTTTTGGAATCAGCATGTGAATTTGTCAATATTTCAGCTTATTATTTTCAATATTTTTCATGCCCTATGTATTTTGCATTTATTTTCTCTAGATTTTTCTTGGGCTTAAAAACTGGGTTTTTTGAAAGTTGATGTTTTTATCCAAGAGGGCATCTTATCATTTTGTAATTACTTGTGTGC